GAACCGCCTCGTCGAGGGACGAGGACAAGTGTTCGTGGGATTACTTGGAGAAGAGTGACAGGAAAGAGTTCTCGAGATGGCGGGAATCGTCGTACAGGAACGAAGCTTACCGTGAGTGCTGAAATTCGATTTTTCTCCTTTTCAAACGGCCGCTCGAGCGATCGCGCTAAGCTAATTGCGCGAATTAGAATATTGGGTCAACCGCGAGCTGCTTAATACTACGAATTACCGTGTAAATTATCGGCACACACGGTGCTTAATTGTCTGGATTAGAATAGTAGGTTATCGACACACACCGAGTATACTGCACTTCCCTAAATAGGGAGGACGTCGATATAAAAGAAACAGTGCTCGCTCGTTGCCAACTTTTCAAATTTACATAATTTGCACATTTTCGCCTGTTTCGTAAGCCAAATATAAGCCACCGTTTATAGAGAAAAGAAGTCTGTCTTGTATCCAGATACACGGATCGTACAATCTTGACGAACTAAATTGACAAAATTTGAAAATAGTCGATTTTGCAGACAGGGAGAAAAGTATAGCAATAATCCGTTCCGATTCGCAGAGGATACGACGAAGCAGGAGCAGAAGGAGCAATCGAATCGCGAGTGGGTGTCACCGGTACCGGAAGTCGAGGTGGGGGGCACGTCGCCCGGCGATCCTCAGGTTCGAGCGCGAAAGGACATTCCACGGGGAGCAAGATTCGGTCCTTTTCTCGGCAAATGGGCGAGCGAACCTTTCAACCCCCGTTACGCATGGGAGGTGAGTGAGTTTTGTACTTCTTTACGTTTGCGCGAGAGCTTATCGCTTTCGTTCTCGTTTCCTTAGAATTTCGAAGCGGAACGTATATATACGTAAGTAAACTGTGCGAACGTATCGACCTTCTTAAATCGAAATAGCTTTCCAAATCGGTTTTCGGTCGTTACAGATAAATTATAGAACTTCTTCTTCTACCGTTGCTCAAATCGATTACCTTATAGATTACAGAAATTAATTCGTTTAAACGTAGTAGCGGTCTCTCGAACAGATTTTATAAAGTACTCGAAATTTATTAGAATGTGTCTCATATTTATTAACCGCTCTAAAGGTCGTTGCGTTTGGAAATCATTGATTTCCCAGCGAAAGTAGGGAATCGCGTACGATATCATCTAGCACGGGGTTCTCGTGGAACCGTTTGAAAGATGATCGATCTGTTTATGGTTCGGGATCCGGTGGAGGAATACTCTTTGCTCGAAAGCAGTGTCAGTGGGCTCGCTATCCTCCTGCTATAATCCCTGGTATTATCCGGCAGATGCCGAAGATGGGAACGCGACGAACGGAGAGGAAAAGAGAGAAACGAACGGACTAGACACCTGGTCGGTTCTGTTCGTCGAAGGTGTCATCCATGTTGACAGATCTGTCAATTGGCTCACCTCGGACAGCTCTCTCTCGATTCTTCCTTCGTTCTTCGAAATTCTTTCGAGTCTCGACCAGGATGTCTCCGTTGGGTTTCTAAGTCAACCGTGAAATCGTGGCGTAGAGTCAAAATCGAAGAAACAGTCCGTGAAATCGTTGGCGAAGGTTCATGATTTTTTCGTCCGGAAGATCTCCGTTCTATTTTGCTGATCAACCATTTCGAATTTCCGTCGTTTAAAGATTCGCAACTAATTCGTTTTTAATAACTTTATTGTTTTTCGTGCAAAGTCCCCTATAAAAGAGGAGATCGCAGCGCTCGCAGAGAATCGGAAATTGGCCGCGTAACGTCCAGAGGGTGTGATAGATATGATAGCGGCGGCGTTATGTTACGTTAGCGCATGTCGCACTGACAAAATGTAAATGGCGCCATCCATCTAACTGCCGACAAAAAGGCAGCCGGGGCCAACTGTCGGACCGGCGATTACAGGATCGATTAAAGCCAAACTACCCCTTCGTTTCGTCGGGCCGATCTATCAACCCCACGCGCGTAAACGTGCGAGCACACGAGCCGGAGAAAACATCGCGACAGAGATCTAGCCGTGAATTCTCACCGAATTTTGGATATCCTTTCTAGACCGGAAAGATCGATCGTTAGAATATTCTTACCGGAAGAACTTTGCGTGTTTTTATTCCGCCTCGGGGAAAAAAACGTTCGGCGCGCACGGATTGCGAGAAATACGACTTACAGCGGAGAAAGAGAGGCGGTGACGAATCTATCGAACGGTTGACAGAACGCGTGATCCTTTCGCTGAAATTGGAGAAATCTAGGAGGGATCCCTTTCGATCGATTCGCACGCTATCCCCTAATCCTAATCCTTTTCTCACATTCTCGGGGAAAATGGGCGAGTTCCTCGCGCCACGGGATCAAAGGGGGAAAACACGGAACATTGAAATAGGATTATCGATAAACCACTATCAGGAAACTCATAAAATTTCTTACTTATCGTTATTGATAGTTTGATTAACCGATATCGTTTGAAACAAGTTAATCTAGACGATCAACATTTTTTTAAATCAATGTACACTACGAAAAAGTTTTATCTGGACGTCTAATAATAAGAGATAATGAACAGATATTCCGTCACAGTACGCAGTCGATCGGATCGATAGAAAAGACAGGATAGACCGACGAAGTAGACCTATCTCGTGACGGTGGCATCGAGTTGAATGGAATCGGCAGGCAAGAAAAGAAAAACGAACCCTCAAACCGAAATTTTCCCCAAATTCCGTGGATACTTACCCGCGACGTTACACACCTGAAAACGAAGGTATCCGAGGGGTGACAGTATTCGAGTCGTATCGTTGGTACCCCACCTGCCACGCTGGCCCGTACCTCGTTTTTTGGATCCTCTCCGAGAGGGGTGGCTAAGAGGAAAATGGGAGGAAACCATAAGGGGGATTCTCTGTTCCGGTTGCGTTTTGCTCGGTGACGCGTGATCCGCAGAACTGCCGACTCGCGGCGTGCCTTCGTGGCGACTAAACCAATCTTGGGCTTAGCTCAGTCGGCCGTGAGAGACCCTCGCGTCGAGGGTATATACCGCTCCAATTTACCGAATGATCTCGAGAACCCGGCCTCAAATGATCAATCCTCTGCCGTTTATGTTACTTGTCCGCCGTATTATTTATTTCCTTTTTCCGAAACGATCTCTTTATAATTATGGAAAATACAAATCATCAATTGAATTCATTCATTCAAGAATGCACTTAAATAATCCACAAATAGTACTCATCGTAACTGTACGGTTTATTTGTAACAAATTGCCCTAGGTCAAAATTGACCCAGTGCAGACTGGACGAGGGTTATTTTTACCGGATAAACGTGTCGACAAAGCGAACGCTGCATATTTAACCCTCTGTCCGACACTCACGCACAAGTGCATTTTATAAAACGCTTTTTTTAGCAGTAAACGTTTTATATTTATCCCGGTGTTTTTAACTCGTTGATTTCCGTCGAAGGGTCGCGCGATCCGCAAAACTCACCCTCTCTTCCGCGCGTCGTTCGCTCATCGACATATTGGGAAGCATCGTCAATTTTTCCGCGTGATCGCTGACGGACCCTCTCGACGTCTCTCGACAGCAAATGCGAGCCGCCGGCTGCTTTTTCGAGCACGGCTACCACGGGGCAGGGAAAAAGATCGGTTGTTTTTCATATTGAAGCAGGCGCACGCACGCGACTCTCTGCGGGCCACTTTTTCGACAAATCGGCTGGAAAGTTGCGCCATTAGCGACGTATGTCGCTGACAAATCGAATAAACGACGACGTTCGTCGATGATCCGTGTTCTCGCGCGAACCGCACGAACCACCCTCTTCTATGTAACGAGATGGATCGTAAAAAGATGTTCGTTATTGCGGTAAAAATAACCGTACGTGCTCCGACATTTAATAAAAGCTGGCCAATTTAACCTCTGGATCTAAAACGTACCGACAACGTACGCGGCTGAAAATAACGTTCAAACACGAGTTAAAAATTGAACAGCGTTGCTAAGAAAATCATAATGCGCTTATTATGGCTAAGAGGAAAATGGGAGGAAACCATAAGGGGGATTCTCTGTTCCGGTTGCGTTTTGCTCGGTGACGCGTGATCCGCAGAACTGCCGACTCGCGGCGTGCCTTCGTGGCGACTAAACCAATCTTGGGCTTAGCTCAGTCGGCCGTGAGAGACCCTCGCGTCGAGGGTATATACCGCTCCAATTTACCGAATGATCTCGAGAACCCGGCCTCAAATGATCAATCCTCTGCCGTTTATGTTACTTGTCCGCCGTATTATTTATTTCCTTTTTCCGAAACGATCTCTTTATAATTATGGAAAATACAAATCATCAATTGAATTCATTCATTCAAGAATGCACTTAAATAATCCACAAATAGTACTCATCGTAACTGTACGGTTTATTTGTAACAAATTGCCCTAGGTCAAAATTGACCCAGTGCAGACTGGACGAGGGTTATTTTTACCGGATAAACGTGTCGACAAAGCGAACGCTGCATATTTAACCCTCTGTCCGACACTCACGCACAAGTGCATTTTATAAAACGCTTTTTTTAGCAGTAAACGTTTTATATTTATCCCGGTGTTTTTAACTCGTTGATTTCCGTCGAAGGGTCGCGCGATCCGCAAAACTCACCCTCTCTTCCGCGCGTCGTTCGCTCATCGACATATTGGGAAGCATCGTCAATTTTTCCGCGTGATCGCTGACGGACCCTCTCGACGTCTCTCGACAGCAAATGCGAGCCGCCGGCTGCTTTTTCGAGCACGGCTACCACGGGGCAGGGAAAAAGATCGGTTGTTTTTCATATTGAAGCAGGCGCACGCACGCGACTCTCTGCGGGCCACTTTTTCGACAAATCGGCTGGAAAGTTGCGCCATTAGCGACGTATGTCGCTGACAAATCGAATAAACGACGACGTTCGTCGATGATCCGTGTTCTCGCGCGAACCGCACGAACCACCCTCTTCTATGTAACGAGATGGATCGTAAAAAGATGTTCGTTATTGCGGTAAAAATAACCGTACGTGCTCCGACATTTAATAAAAGCTGGCCAATTTAACCTCTGGATCTAAAACGTACCGACAACGTACGCGGCTGAAAATAACGTTCAAACACGAGTTAAAAATTGAACAGCGTTGCTAAGAAAATCATAATGCGCTTATTAAATAAGGCTTGTTTTACACGGAAGAGAAATGTTGGGTTAAGAAATGTTGACCAGCAGTGTACATATGCATACGATGAAAGGGTAAATCGTGGTCCAAGTGTGCGCAACACGCGCCCTTCTCGAATTCGCGACGATCTTCATCGAGATGACAATACGTCTTCCTTGCACGCCTACCACTTACATAATTCAACGTCCAGATTTCGCTGAATGGATCCTCGAAGGGAATGTAGGTGGTGCGAGCATTGTGGATGTTATTAAATTTTCGGTCGATTTGGCAGCTCGTATTCTAGACAATCCGTCGACGAGCCCGTCGTATTGCCGGTACAATACGCGTAACACCGGTGCCCATTATTCGTGGACATTGTCCAGGTGAACCGGTCCTTGGGGCGTTGCTGGAGGTCAAGCCCCGGAAGTGATTCGACAATGAGCCACATTATGCTCACTCTCCTTCTCCCCCATCTTCTCTTCCTCCCGATTCAGTTTCGCCTCTTATTAACTTGACCAACCCGCGTGCATTTTCCTTCTGCTGCAACGACATTCTTCGTCGCGTTCTCGAAACGCGCGTAGTAGTAGGACCAAGGTAACACGGTGACCTTCGTTTTCTCAAGGAGTAGGGTTACGCGGACGGTGATTTTCGCCATTTGAAATTGAAA